CCATCTTCCCTCGTTCCTCCCCAAAGTCCCCCCAACTGTCCCCCCCAATTGTCTCCCCAATGTCCCCTCAATTTCCCTCCGGTCTCCCTCATCCCCCCTCAAAGGTCTCCCCCCACTCCATTACCCCGCGCCTCCAGCCCGCGCATGCGCGCTACCACCAACCCCGCCTCCCGCTCCCTCCTCTTCGCAGGTCCTGGCAGGGCCATAGTGACCCGTAATCACCGCCACCTCCCACACCTCCATCAAACCCAGATCTACCTTGATCTCCCGCCAGTATATGGCGGTAATCATTGTCGCTGCTATCTCCAGGCAGCTTGATGCTGATTCATCCTCGGTTTTTTAATATAAACTCGGCGCCGTCCAGGACCCACGGCGGCGGGAGGCGGGTCGCCAAGATGGCGGCGGCTCTGAGGGGCCGCGCCAAGATGGCGGCGGCGGCAGCGGCTTGAGGAGCGGCCGGTGCTCCCCGCGCTCCCCCCGCGGCCCCGCTGCCCCTTTTTGGGGGCTCCCTGCGGCTTCGGGGGGCTCGGGGAGAGTGCGGAGATGGCGGAGGAGAAGAAGTTGAAGCTGAGCCACACGCTGCTGCCCGCCGAGTCCATGAAGGTGATGGCGGAGGCCATGGGGGTGCCGGGGGTCCCTGAGGAGACGTGTCAGCTGCTGGCGGAGGAGGCGAGCTACCGCCTCAAGGAGGTGGCGCAGGTGAGCGGGACACCCCCAAATTTGGGGGGGGTGTCAGGACCCCTTGGATCCCTCAGGTTTGGGGTGTGGGCAGGGGCTGACCCCAAAATTTGGGGGCTGGGACCCCCTCAGAGCTCAAATTTCCCCTCAAAAATCCCTTTTTCCTCACCCACGCCACCCCCAAAACTCTCCTGAACACCATAATTCCACCCCAAATCACCTTTTCTCTCTACTTTCTCCTTCTCGACACTCTTTTCCCCCCTAAATCTTCTTTTCACCCCTTAAATTCTCCTAAAATCTACCTTTTCCCATCCTAAACCTCTTTTTTCTGCTCCAAACTGATCCCGAACCCCCCCAAATCCCCCTTTTCCCCCATTTTGCCATCCTCAAATAATTTTTCTTCCCTTTTTTCTCTCATTTTCCTAACTTTAAACTTTCCCCCACTTTTCTCCTTTTTCACCCTTTTTCTCCCTTTTTTTCCTCTTTTCCCCCTTTTCTCCCCTCTTTTCCCCTTTTTTCCCCCTTTACTCACACTAAACCCCCTTTTCCCCTCAAATCCACCCAAATTTTTTTGTTGAATTCTCTTTTTTCCTGCAAAATCCCCTCAGAAATCCCCTTTTTCCCCCCAAACCCTTTCTGAACCTCCTTTTCCCCCCTAATTCTCCCCCAAAAACATTATTTTTTCCCTCAGGATGCTCTCAAGTTCATGCACATGGGGAAGAGAAGGAAACTCACAACGGGGGACGTGGATTTTGCCCTGAAACTGAAAAATGTGGAGGTAAAACTGCCCAAAAATTGAAGAAATACCCTCAAAATCCATGGAAATCCCCCACATTGAGGAAAACGCCTTAAAATTGAGGGTAAAACTGAGGGAAATTCCCACAAAATCAAGAGAAAACCTCTCAAAAATCAAGAGGAATCCCCATCAATTCATGGGAAACTCACACAAAACTGGGGGAAACACCCCAAAACTGAGGGAAATATCCCCAAAACTGAGGCAAAACACCCAAAAATTGAGACAAATTCCCACAAATTCAAGGGAAATATCCCCAAAACTGAGACAAAACACCCAAAAATTGAGACAAATTCCCACAAATTCAAGGGAAATATCCCCAAAACTGAGACAAAACACCCAAAAATTGAGACAAATTCCCACAAAACTGCGGGAAAATCCCACAAAATTGAGAGAAAATCTCCCAAAACAATGGGTAATTCCCACAAAACCTGAGGGAAACTCCCTTAAAACTGGGAAAAATCCCCCCAAAATCCAGGAAACTCCCCCCAAAATCCAGGAAAAATCCCCCAAAAATGAGGGAAAATCCAGGAAAATCCCATTTTCCCCATTTGCCAGCCTCTGTACAGGTTCCATTGTGAGGGAAAACCTCCCAAAACTGAGGGAAATATCCCCAATTCTGAGGGAAATCTCTCAAGACTGAGGGAAATCCCCACAAAATTGAGGGAAATATCCCCAATTCTGAGGGAAATCTCTCAAGACTGAGGGAAATCCCCACAAAATTGAGGGAAATATCCCCAATTCTGAGGGAAATCTCTCAAGACTGAGGGAAATCCCCACAAAATTGAGGGAAATATCCCCAATTCTGAGGGAAATCTCTCCAAATCTGAGGGAAATCTGCCAAAACTGAGGGAAATATCCCCAAATCTGAGGGAAATATCCCCAAATGTGAGGGAAATATCCCCAATTCTGAGGGAAATATCCCCAGATCTGAGGGAAATATCCCAAAAACTGAGGGAAATATCCCAAAAACTGAGGGAAATTCCTACAAAATCAAGGAAAAATCTCCCAAAACTGGGGGAACCGCCTCGAAACAGGGAAAAGTCCCCTCAAAATCAAAGGAAACTTCCTCAAAATTGGCAAAAATCCCCCAAAAATGTGGGAAAATCCAGGGAAAATCCCCCCAAAATGAAGGAAAATCCAGGAAAAATGCCCCAAAAATGAAGGAAAATCCAGGAAAAATGCCCCAAAAATGAAGGAAAATCCAGGAAAAATGCCCCAAAAATGAAGGAAAATCCAGGAAAAATGCCCCAAAAAGGAAAATCTAGGAAAAATGCCCCAAAAACGTGGGTAAATCCAGGAAAATACCCAAAAATCCAAGAAAAATGCCCCAAAATGCGGGTAAATCCAGGAAAATCCATGTAAATCCAGGAAAAATCCCCCAAAACCCAGGAAAATCCCCATTTTTCCCCGTGTCCCAGCCGCTGTACGGGTTCCACGCCCAGGAGTTCATCCCGTTCCGCTTTGCCAGCGGCGGCGGGCGGGAGCTGTACTTCTACGAGGAGAAGGAGGTGGATCTGAGCGACATCATCAACACCCCCCTGCCCAGGGTGCCCCTGGACGTCTGCCTCAAGGGTGGGGGGGGGTTTGGGGGGGATTTTGG